TTCGTCTCACCTATTTTGGTCATGTTGTAAGAAGGGACCATTCCCTGGAGAAGGATGTCATGCTTGGTAGGGTGGAGGGTCGACGAAAGAGGGGAAGGCCTTCAACGAGATGGATTGACTCGGTGGCTGCGATGATGGGCTCAAGTATAGTAGGGATTGTGGGGCTAGCGCGGGATTGGGCAGTGTTTCGTTCTGCTGTGCATGGGGTTGCTATGAGTCGGAAACGACTTGACGGCACTCAACAACAACAACAACAGGAGTAGACAATAGCAATAAATAATATGCATAGAGAATTATCTGGTTGGTCATTCATTCATTCATTTATTTATTTTGCTGGGTTTTAATAAACCCAGCCATCTCCATGTTCCAACATGTCAGTGGAAGAGAGAATGATCTAGGAATTGTCTGCTTTCAAAGGAATGCATTGATTTTGTAAAATCTTATTTATTGCAGGGTGCTGTTTTGTTACATTTTACACCCGTAAAGCTGCATTAGAAGCGCAGAATGCTCTCCACAACATGAAGGTCCTCCCAGGGGTAAGAAAGCTCCTTGTAGTAAATAGAACTGTGGTGGTTTTGACACATGGAGCATGCTTACAGGCGTGCACTATGAATCATTTTAGGGAAAAGGTGATTCCTACAGGAATTAATGAACAGGAGGACATAAAGGGACTGATTCAAAGACGGGCAGAAAATCTTCTTAGACAGAAGTCTTGGGTATTATGTTGAGTTCTTGTCTCACGTTCTGTCTAGTCTGGTATTTTGCGGGGACAGATCATGGGGTCGGTGAGTTCAGAGACAAGTTTTAAGGTTCTAGTTTTGAGAATTCCTCAGTAATATTTCTGAGTGCCTTCAACAGGTGCAGTGATAATATTTGTCCGTTTTTCCCTCTTAGATGCACCATCCTATACAGATGAAGCCTGCTGACAGTGAGAAGAACAATGGTAAGCAGGCACACTAAGCCTCCTCTTGTCAGGTGTTCTCCTGGTTTGTTTGCTGTTCTCATGGCATCTGGACTGCATGGTGTTCTAAGTAATCTCATCTCAATTGTCTCTGTTTTTCTTTTCCTTTTTAAAATAAATACAGTAAATAAATGAGGAAAACAGCTGAGTGGGAAACATTACAACAGTATTTAGAATAAACTGGAATGCCCTTGAAATGTAATTTCTTAGGGACAAGGGTGAGATGAGAAAAAGAACAAGTTAGGAAGGAGAACTTGGCTCTCAAGAGAATAGTCAGAAAAGGAAAGCAGACAGATGTATTCGTGATAGACCCCTTCTTTTCCTCTTGTCCTATCAATTAAGTGTGAAAACCACATCCTTCTTTAGTGGGGTAGTACTAGTAAGAGCAAACATTACTAATCAGGATGTTAAGCACTTGGTATGTATTAATTCATTTAATACAACAGTATTAATTATTCCCATTAGTCAGATGAGGAAACAGGTACTGAAAGGTTAAGTAACTTTCACAAGATCACAAAGCTGACATAATTCATCGAAATTTTTCCAATTATAATTTTAAGATACTAGTGATAATAAAAAGTATTACGGTTTCAGAGATGTTAAGTTATCAAGAAAATGTGTATCTTAGAATCAATGAAATACAGTGTAAAGGCACAAAGCCAGGATTCAAACCTAGGTGGTCTGACTCCATCGTCTGTGCTGCACCTCCTCTTGAATAATGATGTCTAAGCCTTTTTGTCTTTTACTCTCTTAGCAGTGGAAGACAGGAAGCTGTTTATTGGTATGATTTCCAAGAAATGCACTGAAAATGACATCCGAGTCATGTTCTCTTCATTTGGACAGATTGAGGAGTGCCGGATATTGCGGGGACCTGATGGCCTGAGCCGAGGTGTGTACAGTTTTAGCCTTTAAAGATACCATCTCAAATGTGGAGTCTCTTTTGAATTGGACTAGTGGGAACCAGCGATCCCTAGCCAGCATGGCTTTCTTGGGATGGAGACGGCTGGGCCTGCACTCAGTGCTATGTACCTAGATCCTGTCCCACCATGGCTCCTTCTGCCAGTTGATCCCCTTGATGTTCTCCCAGCCTCCCAAGGGTGTAAATTCCATACTTCAGGGTCATGTATTAAAATCCTCTCTTTTTGTGCGTGGAGAAGTTGATGGCAAAATGAAAACACTTCCTTCTCACTTTTTTTCCCGAGAGAAAGGAAAGAATGTGATTTCCTCTTTCTTCCTCAGGCACTTTTCCCCTATCTGTGGCTTCTTGGTTTTTCATGGTAGCACTTGTGGCACCCTGTTGTAACATGTCTGTCTTACCCACTAGTTCATGAACCCCTGAAGGCAGGGACTGTGTGTTCATCACCAGCATGTTTCTGGGCAGATAGTAAATGTTCAGTAAATACCTGTTGAATGAATGAGCAAGCAGATGAGTTCCTGATTCTTCTCTTACCAGGTTGTGCGTTTGTTACTTTTACAACAAGAGCCATGGCACAGACGGCTATCAAGGCAATGCACCAAGCACAGACCATGGAGGTACGGAGCAGACGGGGAACACAAGGACAGCTGGGCGTGCGAGTCCAGTAGCGGGTAGAACATCACGTTGCCGTAAACATTAAACAGGCCAGTCTGTCTTAAAATTGAAACCTGATGGCTGTCTTTAAGGTTAGCGCGTTAGAAATATGTGCTCTTTTGCCGCTCGTGTCTGTTAGGAGGAAAGTCATCTGACAGTGGATGAAGTTAGAGTGCAGCCTGCATATCACTAGGATTTTTCCTTCATCCAGGAGGGAAATTTGACTCTTTGATTTTGGTGTTTTCATAGGGTTGCTCATCCCCCATGGTGGTGAAATTTGCAGACACACAGAAGGACAAAGAACAGAAAAGAATGGCCCAGCAGCTCCAGCAGCAGATGCAGCAAATCAGCGCAGCATCTGTGTGGGGAAACCTTGCTGGTCTAAATACTCTTGGACCCCAGTATTTAGCAGTGAGTCTTTGTGGTTTGCTTTCTGCAGACTGTGCAAGCTCCCAGCTGTTTCTTCTTCTGCTGTCCCTAGCTCACAGGCACAGTGGCATTTACAACTTCTGGCCTATAGACCTTTTATTTAACAATTTTGCCAGTGCAGCAACATTCTTTAAGTCATGTTAGTCTCTCTCTCGTCAATACCTCTGGTTATATCTGGAGGCTTCCACTGCAGTTAAAGTGAATTTCTGATTTTCCGACTTACAGGCTTAGAAACAACATCTCGTGTATCTTTGCCCCAAGGGAAAAAAGTCCTGAGGGAATTTTAACTCCCAGATATCTCTTCGGATTTCTTTCTGTCATGTGTAGAGGGCATTATAATAACCCTCGACTCTTCCCTCATAAGGATGAGCAATGGTTCTTTCAGCTGACTAAGAGATCAGGAGATTAACATGGACATCATTAAATGGATATTACAGGTGTATGTTTGAATTCAGTCCGTATTGCCTAAATAGATTTCCTTTCATTTGCTTTTTTCTCTTGTTGAGTTTAATTCATTTCATCCAGATGAGGGTCAGGCTCCAATTTGTGATTTAGATTTACTAGGTCTGCAAAATACATGACAGGGGTTATTACTGCTTTAACTTTTACAAAGAATCACATCTAGTTCAAGACATTTAAGGCAATTTCATCTGTGGGTCAGAAAGGAAAGCTCTGCGAAGCTGCCAGTGAAGGAAAATAAGTGGAGATTTATGTGGATAATCCAGAAAAGTACACATGGGAGTAACTAGTATAGCCATTCACTTTTCATCCTTTCAAATGTTATTGTTTATGGAAACACAGGAAAAGCAATGATTTCTGTCACCGAATGCGAGCTTTGGCTCATTTGATACCCTCTGTTCACCAAATTCGACAATGTTAGAAGAAATCCTAGTATCTTTCTGAAGTAAAGAAGTATACATGGTTCATGTGTTTCACAGATGGACTAGTTTCTCATTGCTAGAATATTGCTTAGAAGTTAGAAAAAGTTTGGTTTTCTGCCTAAATATTAATACATTGAGAATTATCTCCATGATACACATTTGCTTTTTTGGAGCCTCTTAAAGGAAGATGCCCCCTCTTGTCATCATTGCCTTTTCCAGCAAGGGCATGATGTTGTATGTTGAGAACTATGGTCTCTGTTTCATTTAGACTTGCCCTAAGAGTTACTCTCATTTATGGAGGAAATGCATGTGTTAACTACAATATGCCCAAGGTATTTTAGAAAATAAAAATGAGGACTTGTGGGTGCTAATGGACTGTGTAAGTGATAGTATATCATCATTGAGTATGAAGTTCTTCTCTGGAATATGTGGACTTGAACCTGAGCTCTGGCTGGACAAGAGCTGTGTGGTTCTGCTCTAGTCTTTGTAGGACCATAGATCCCTTTGAAAAGCTGGTAAAAATTATGTGTAAATGCATTTTTTCATTCCATTTCTGGGGGTTGGAAGACCTCTTAAAACCTTGAGTTGTGTAGCCTAGAGGGATTGATGATAATGATGGAGGAACCAGGCAGATGTTTATAGAAATGGCCACCAGGTTGAATAAAGGATCTGAAAGAGAAATAAGAATATCGTTTGTCCATAAGGAATAGTAATTGGGTTTGAATGGAAGAGAGGTTTTAAGCAGGAGCTCTGGTAGTGTAGTGCCTAAGGCACTTGACTGCTAATCATAAGGCTGGCGGTTCAA